AGCAAAAGCAGGGTGTGTTGGGGGGACGTTTTTGGCCTAGCAAGCCTCTCTGGGGCCTCCTAGGAGCAAAAATGGGGTGTGGGGGACAGCACTGGACCCCCCCACACCCCATTTTTGGCCTAGCAAACCTTCCTGGAGCCTCCTAGGAGCAAAAGCAGGGTGTGGGGAGGCAGCGCTGGACCCCCCCGTGCCATTTTTGCTCCCGGGAGACTACCCTACACTTACCTGGGAGCCAGTCAGGCCTCGTGGGGACTACTAGGAGGGGAGGGGAGGGGAGGGATGGGCGGGCTGTTCTTCAGAACTACCAGTTCGCTGAACTGGATATACAATTAACATCCGGTTCACCCAAACCAGCCTAAACTGGTAGAATCCCACCTCTGCACACGCTTCCAGATTCAGCTTATGGTCACTCGTTCATACACTTATAGCCATGGAAAGTTGGCACACTCAAATCACTTTTAACTGAATATTGGGGAATAAATGAAGATCCAATTAATTTTAAAAAACAGCAAACTTTACTTGTTACAATGTATATCTATTTACTCTTTCACACATGCATGGGCGCTCCTCCACACTTATCCAAGTCCTAACCAGAGGTACAGACTCTGCCAAGTCTTGGTCCAAAGACGACTCAAAGAGTTAAGTGTGTTTGAGGACCCCTTTTATTTCCCAAAGTCCTTGCTTTGTTCAGGTAATATTGTAGAACTTGGAGATGATTTCTCATGTGGTCAGGCCCAATGTTTTTTGTCTGATTCAGGTGACATTTTTTCTTTTGTTTCCTTAAAGACATGGTTCCTTCTTAGGTACTTTTCCTGAGGGAGCTAGACTCAGACTTGCTGGCTTTTGTCCCTCAGCCTAGTTGAGAATATGGGTAAGTGTGGATGAGTGTGTGGATGTTATGCACATGCATGTGCATGTGTGAAAGAGCAAATAGATATACATCTTTTTAAAAAGTTTGCTGTTATTTTAAATTCACTGATTCTTCAACACTTCGTATTATATCTTACATTCTACAGTATAGTCATTTAAATTAATCTGCTACTTTGGATGGAGGGTTATTAAGTGGATTTTCTTTAAAGTTTATTCAGAAATTATTGATATTTTAAAGTATCATTAGTATTTTCGCTGGTAAAATGTAAAATTGTGATTTCACATCTCAAATTAACACTATAAACATAATGCTTTCATGGTTAATAAGTATAAACCTATTGGCTAGTGCTAATCCTGTGTCCCTGTTCTCTAATATACAAAATTGCATGCTGAAATCTGGGAAATTTGCTAATCTGTAGTTTACCTGTCCCCTATTGGATATTTGTTTGAAAATATACAGTAGTCCTTGATACAATCATAATGAAGCCTGCCTGTTATGGTCATAATGTTAACTCAGTCATGTTAAATGAACGGGCCCCATCCCTCCTCTCCCCAATGCATTTGTTAATCTGTGGGTCATTAAGTGTGCATGGGGTTCCTAGGTAATGAAGACCTAGGAGGCGGCTAGTTCAGCTGCCTCCAGCTACTCAAGGCCTTCCCCAACCCACTGAGATATCTCATGGTCACTTCCGACCCTTGGGGTTCCTACGGCTACTTTGGCCTTCTCCACACCAACCCCTATTATCAATTGTTCACTTACCTTTTGAAGATTTCCAAAGCTCCAGAACAGATTGGGCCATGTTGCAGAAAAGTGATTCACTTTTTCTCAGATCTGGCAAAGTTAGGGCTTTTTTACTTTTTAGATCTCACATTCTTACATACACTCTTTTTTTTTTGCAACAGACGGACTTGTCTGTGAAAACTGTCACATCCCTGTAGGCCTCCTTTGCTGCTGGGTAACTGATTCAAATGAGTAACTTTGGGGATTACAACCTGAAAACTAGTTTTGACTGGAGGAGACAAGATGTGGGTGGGTGGTTTGGCAGCTGTCCAGGGTGGCAGCAGGAAAACTGAACTCCTCACAGCAGCATTGTTGCCAGGGATGGCCGAGCCCCTTGCAGCAAGCTAGGTCAGTGCAGCCGCTGGGTGCCAGGCCTGAGAGCCCTGCATTGCCCACGTTTGCTTGCCTCTGGTGAGCCCAGTTCGGAAGAGGAAGAGGAGTTAGAACTGGGACTGTCCAACAGTCTGACAGGGAAGGCACTCCAGGGACTGAGGACAATGTTGTCCTGGGCCCCTCAGGCATTGAGGGAGGTGATCAGCCAGACGGAAAGCTGCCTGCCTGCATAGACACAGAAGGATCAGCTGCTGGTCTCCTCTGAGGAAGAATTGCTCTCTACTCCACTCAGTTCAAGGGCAAGGAGAGCAAAGTGTAGACAAGCCCAAAGAAGGGCTATAAGACTACTTGGAGAAGGTCACTCCACCCCTCCTCACAAGAAACACCTGGAGGGGAGTAACTTCAGGAGAAGCCACGGAGAGTTAGTTTTGCCAGGAACAATTGTTTGCTTTGGCTTACACTCCCCTGGCTTCAACTCGTGCCTGTTGCTTTTTGCTTTGCCTCACTTAGAAGATTGCTCTTCAAATTTTGTTTTGGACCTATCCTTCTCTTTGTAGCCTGCTTTTGGCCTTTACTTCACTGTGCCTTTGGACTGTTTCTTGCCTGGGACCTGTTTTTTGTCCTGAGGACTACCCTTGTCTTGTGCCTGGACTCTGTCTTGTGCATTGGACTTAGAACCCTGGACCTTGCCCCATGAGCCAGCTCCCAGTCTGTGGGCTTTCTTTGTACTGCTGGGACTGTGTTTGGGAGACTGAGGGGGGCTGCCTTCAGGGTAGTGTGGGGTGGAGCCTTACCAGTCATTGGAGGGCTATTGACTGGAACATTTGTTGAGAGAAATAAAGAACTCTCTAGAAGCCAGCCAGCCTGCCTTTGACCACCTGGGTCATAACATGGTGCTTTGGGTGCTAGAGCATGGGCTGGGCTTTCTTGCAGCAGAGAGCACATATCTCCATGGCTGCCCAGATCCCCATGAAAATCCCCTCCCTCAGGGTCTGCAGCTGCTTTCTTATTCACTAGATCTCCCCTGCGGCAGACCAAACTGAAGCTCCAAGCTCTTTATTTCTTCTGCCACATGTCACCAATTGCACCGCCCAGAGAAAAGGGGTTTGGCCTTCCTTGGCAACAGTGCTACTACAAGGAGTTTGGTTCTCCTACTGCCATCCTGGCCAGCCACCACCCACCCACATCCTGCTGCCTCCTATAGCCAAAACTAGCTTTTGGACAGCAATCCCCAAAGTCATTCATTTGAATCAGAAACCCAGCAGCACAGAGAGGGTACCTGCAGCAGTGTCCAACCGGGATCAGAGGAGGTCTATGAGATCTCGCATTCTCACAGACAATTCCATCTGTGTGCAGCATGTGTAAAGACTTATGGCAGCGATGTTGTAATTTTGAACTGTTGCTAAGTGAACTATTATAATTTGAAGATTACCTGTACAAGATTATGACATCCTCAGGGATGTCAAACTCACATCATGATGGTGGTGTCACGTGATGTATTGCAATTTCCCCTCACCTTTGCTAAACCGGGCATGGACATGGCCAGCGCATAACACAGGCAGGCCACAAGTTTGGCAGCCCTGATCTACCTTGTGCGGTATCACCTAAATTTAGAGAAGGCTTTGCTATGCAAACAAGCTCTAGAGCATATTCAGAGTCAAAAAGAAATAAATATGCACAACAACATTCATCTCCTGATCAAACCGAAGAATAAAATATATTTTCCAGTATTTTTCATTTTGTCTTAAGCTTACTCTTAAACCTGAGATTTCATTTAGTTTTTATGCATAATATTTATTGATAGTCAAATTTATTGACCTTTTTAATTTTTAATTTGACTTTACACAAAATGCAAAAGTGAGAGAATGATGCTCTCTGCAGAGTTGAGTATAGAAAGTAAACTAACGTTTCCCCTACTTCCCCTATACTTGTTAGATTTGTGGAGATTGGTGGTACAAAAACAATAATTGGACAATATAGTGTGCCAAAGTTTTCTAAATGTCAGTGTTTATGAGATCACCAGACAATAATAGTATACATGGCAGAGGTACAATTAAAAAGCTACTGATCTTGAAGAAACATTGCTGTCCACCTGCAAAATAAAATGTGAGTAAGCTAGAAGGCTATTGGAATAATGTTCTATGGCTGGATGAGATCAAAATAGAATCAGGTAGAATTTCAGGTAGATATCAAATAGAACTTTTTGCTTAAATGAAAATGTTTGGCAAAAGACAAATGTGGTACTCCACCAAAAGAACCTTACTCCATCTGTGAAACATTTGGAGTATCATGGTTTGGGCCTACTTGTTTACCTCTTGTCCAGAATGAGATTATTTATTATCATTAATAAATTGTGAATTCCAAATTGTACTGGCAAATTCTACCAGAAAATGTCAAGATATTGTCCATGAAGTGAAGCTTAAAAGAAAGTTAGTTATGCAGCAAAACAACAGCCCAAAACACAAGTTCTACAATCACAGAATTATTATAGCAGAAGAAAGTTAATATTCTGGAATAGCCAGTCTTGACCTTAGTCCTACAATAATGTTGTGGAAGGACCTGAAGTGGGCAGTCTGTTCAAAAAAGTCCACTATTACTCCTGAGGTGAAACTGTTCTGTAAGATTAGTGGGCTAAAATACTTCCACGCTGATGTGTAAAACTAATAAACAATTATTGGAAATGTTTATACTTACATTTTCAGCATATTTTACTGTAAGAGTGTATAAAATCTTCCAGCTACATGCTACTAGCCATTCAATATTATGTAGCTCTTATTTTACCAAATTATTTTCCCTTTTACAGATGTACTTTTTGTTTTTAATCCTACTTTAGAAATAGACTAGGTTATCTTCACTATAATTTGGTAAACTGTACTATATTTAACTCTTTGAAACTTGTTTGAACACAGAAAATGAAATTTTAAGTTGTGGACATTAGATTAAATCATAATCTAAAATAATTATTTGGATTTGGAAGGAAAAAGTGCAGAATTCTTATTTCATTTTTATTTTTCAGATTGCAAACAATATTTATGAAATTTGATGAAATAAAAAATAGTGACAGTATGATTTCAAGCAGTATCAATGGTGAGTATGTGACTTTGGTATTAAAAGATAATCCATCCTAAATGAATATGTAAAATGAGTTTAGAGTCTCTTATAATCTTAACTGTCACAAACATTAGATGTTAGTAAATATCGTTGAAGAAAGTGTGTACTCTTTAAATACATCACATAAACTTTATGAATGTTTTGAAATTTCATTATTTAATTTTATGATCATTGTACTCCTTGATGCTTCTGTTTTGCTTGTAATTTCTGAAGCATTAAAGGTAGAAGTGATTTTTTTTATTGTTATGTAACATAGCATTTAATGGTTTGGATTTTAAACCCAAGAAGGCCCAGGTTCAAATCCTCCGTCAGTGAAAGAGTTCATGGATGATCTTTATTCAAGTCTTCAGTCTCCTCAATATAGTCCGTGTAAAAAAAATGTTACGGTCTGAAACACCCACAAGGATGTTTTTACAGTTTTCCTGAGCATCTCCTCCTCAGGATGTAAATATACAGACATGATATTCTTCCGATTAAAATCGGAATTCCGATTTTTTTGGGAATCGCCGCCCTTCCCCCCCTTCTTCTCCTCCTTCCCCTCCCCTCGGAGGCCCCGAGTCAGGAGTTGCTACTGCTGGCGCGGCTCTTCGTGGCTTCAGTCCTGCGTTGCCTCAGGAAGGGAAAGGCAAAAAGGAAGAGCCGTGGCGGCGCTTTGCAACAGCAGCAGCGGCTCCTGGTTTTGCCTTTCCCTTCCCGAGGCAACGCGGGACTGGAGCTGCGCGGAGCCGCGCCAGCAGTAGCAACTCCTGACAGCCCCAGCCGGATACCTGAGCGGAGCCCGGGCGGGCGGGCGGAGGCCGCTGAGCGGCAGGAAAAGGGAGCTGGGCAGCGATTTCTTGGCGCACGGTGGGGGGGTCTCTTTTGGCCGGCCCCAATTTTTTTTTCAGAGGGGAATATCATGCCTGATATAACAGATATATAAAAATAAGAAATTACTATTTTCTCACTGTTTGGGAAACCTTTTTTTGCACTTTGATCACTTTTACACAGTTTATGGAAAATCTTGCCTCTAATAGCTTATTTATGTCAAAGTACAGTATAAATCTATATATTGTTAAAACTCTAATGTCTGTTTGATAGTTTGTTACCTTCAATTGGCTAAATTGGAAAGTATACAGCAACAGTTATTGAACCAGAGTAACTCAAATAACCTACTTTACAGAATGCTAGAACCCGTGACTCCAGTGCAAATTAAATTTGGGGAAGGTGTTGTCACTTCAGTAGCAATGTGTTGCTACTCTTCCTCATTGCTGCTGCAGTCAGCTAAAATCATGTGATCCTTATTCCTTGACAGCCTCCCACAAATTGATGGGGAAGCCAGAAGGAATTGATATGATTGCCAGTGTTGGTTACCAGCTTCCTACTAGCAAAGTCTTTGCAGGGAGAAATTAGGTGGAGAACCTGGTAGGGAATGTATTAAGTTCCTTGATAAGTCTTCTACTTCTTCTACACATTCTCAACTAGTCTTGTCAATTCCTCTGTGCTCATGCTATGCCTAGCCACTCAAGCAATCTCTGCTCTCTTTCTCATCTGGCAACAGCTATACCAGAAGGAAAGGAAAGGAAAGGAATGGAAAGGAAAGGAAAGAAAAGGAAAGTAGAAAAGAGAAAAGAGAGGGAAGGGGAAAGGGAAAGGTGTTTCCAATGCTCCCTACCAGCATTCCACAAGCAAAGTCAGTGGGGAAGTTGACACTCTAACAGGATCTGCAGCATGCCCAGTCTGCTGGATCAAGTTGGACAAATAAAGACAATTCCACAATAGCCCAATCCCAAGCCATGTAGGTTTTTAAGGTGACAACCAACACCTGGAATGGCACCTGGAAATACTCTAGTGCCAGTGCAGCTCATGTAATAGTGGTGTTACACTCTGCAGTGTATCCAGCATCATTTACCTGTGCAGCCCCATTGTGCACCAGTTGAAGTTTCTGAATGGTTTTCAGAAGTAGAGTCACATGTACAGTGTGTTGCAGATTAATTTGAGAAGTTACAAGAGCATGGGGTGACGGTGAGAAAGCCTGACCTTCTGATTGCTCCTTACTGAAAATTGCAGTATTCAAAATCACCTCTTCCCCATAAGTACACAAGTGTGTGAAGGTTGTCTTGGGTCCTTCCTAGTCTCCACTTCAAAAAACAGGGAGCAAGCACAGACACCAAATAACCAGCTTTGATGGTAAAATCTGCTGTTCGACGATGGGAACAAGAGTCATCCACCATTCAGGATTCTATGTTGGTGGAATATATGGAGAAGAAATTATTTTATTTTTAATGATGTAGCCTGAAGAACTAATGCAGTCTACTAATAGCATTAGCATTGGCACTCCACAAGGTTGTGTCCTTAGTCCACTACTGTTCTCCATCTATTCATCTGATTGCACAAATAAACATCCCAACAATAGGATAATGAAATTTGCAGACGATACTACGCTTGTAGGACTTATTTCTGGGGATGATGAGCCTGCATATCGGGATGAGGTATTACAGCTATCCCGCTGGTGCAAAAATAATAATCTATTTAATATTAAGAAGACTAAGGAGGTTATAGTGGACTATAGGAAAAAAAGAGCAGACATTCAGCCACTGTATATAGAGGGAGTTCGTGTGGAACAGGTGGTTGAATGTAAGTTTCTCGGGACCATCATTACAAATGACCTGACCTGGAGTGCAAACACTGCTGCTTTAATTAAGAAGGCACAACAACGGTTGTATTTACTAAGGATTCTTAGGAAACAACAACTGGCTGAGAGTCTACTGACTACCTTCTGTCGGAGTTCAATTGAGAGTATATTATCCTACTGTCTCTGTGTATGGTTCTCGAGCTGCACAGTGGCAGAGAAAAAGGCAATTCAGAGGGTGATCAAGACGGCCCAAAACATCATTGGCTGCTCACTCCCCTCTTTGGAAGAACTGTATAGGAATAGATGTAAGAGGAAGATACTTAACATATTGAATGACTCCTCTCATCCGGGACATCAGCTCTTTGAACTATTACCATCGAGAAGGAGATTTAGGGTATTAAGAACAAGGACGACCAGATTTAAGAACAGTTTTTATCCAAGTGCAGTTTTGAGTCTGAATGCAGGGTCATAAGATTTTTGTGGAGTCTAATGGCTGAGAGTAGTGGGGTATTTACATTTTTAAATTGTATAGAGATTATTGTATGGTTGGTTGTGTTTAGTTTAATTTTTTTTTCTTTTTTAGTGGTGTTTGTCCAGTTTTACTTGTGGAAGAGCACCTCATTTCGTTGTACCCGCTTGCGAGTGTAATGACAAATAAATTCTTATGTCTTATGTCTTAATAGTGACTGAACCAATTTTGTTATATCTTATCCCAAGAGTTCAGGAATTGATTAGGCTGAGAGATATAACCCACTTCCCATTTTCCAGTGAATTATATGATTAAGGAGGAATCTTAATATAGATCTTGGTTCTTACTTTAGATTTGTATTTCAACTGTAATTATAAGCAACGTCCTCTTATTCAATTTGTTTCTGCATCGTTTTTGCAATATATAAAAGACGATTCCTAGACCTTTTTTTCTTCAGGGAAGCAGGATCACAATACATATGTTGGTGAAAGTACATAGTCTGTCAAGATTTGAACAAAAATCTCTGCTGTTAAATTTATGAGTCTACCTCAGTATAAAAATACATTTTAACTATAGGCCCTAATTTAAATGGCTTGCTGAATTAAATATGTAATTTGCAAACATATGTATGTGTTTTGAATTGTGCTTTTATTTTATATTTGTAAAACTTTGGTGAGAAATGTATTCTACTTTTATGAACATCTATGAAATGGGAGTCTTGTTGGCAAGCAGCACACCACAGACTTGCTCTTATTATGTGGTTGATTCAGATTTATGTCACTGGCTTTATCCGAAACAGTGGTACAGCTTTCTTTGTACAGAAAAGCCTTTGAGAGTGTGCCTTTGACATGATTGTTTACAACAGCCGGAGATAGTTGTGTACAATTGGAGACTGAGAACACAGAACAAAAGCAACGGAAGGACAGGGGGAGGGGGGAAACCAAACAAAAATGCCATACATGTTCTATTTCTACCTTATATGATTGTTTGTAAATATTTTATTTTGCTGATCTTCTTTGGCTGTAATAAGATTTCACTAGATTCTATTACACCAGTATAAATCAGATAATCGTTTTGGTCATGTGACTAATCCTGATTATACATGAATCCTTAGGGATTGTAAGCAAGACATGTTTCCCAAACACATGCCTTGTGTTTTGATGATTGCATTAAAAGCCCTTATGGAATGAATTTCATTGGTTGTAAGCAGATTCTTCAAAGGAAAAAGGCAAGAGCAAGGATAGAAATAAAGGAGAAGGGGAGTCTTATTATAATACTGAAATGCCTCATTGGTATAAGCAGTAATGAGGTATATTGTAATAGATGGAAGGAGTTTCCTAAAACAAGAAGGACTTTTATTTTGAAGTGGCATAGCAGCTGTTGCTTGTTGCAGTATAAAGCTGCAGATCTGACTGGGTCATACAGTGCTGTGTCTGTTTTCACACTGCACTGGATTGAGCGTGGCGCAGGAACATAGAGTCTTGTACTGTATTTGCTTTCCTTGAAAAATCATTTGGTAATATTTTAACTGAGCAATGGCAGTTGGGGATGGTGAGTACCATTTTCTGGTTACGTGTTTTTATTATTTAAATTTTATTATTTAAATAATTGATCATTTAGTGATCAAAAAAATAAAAATAACCCTACAGTTGATATAATAAATATGAAGATTTGAATTTATTGCACTTGAATGTTGAAAACCTTCGCTAAGCATATCAAATGCATGTTATACCATAATTTATTTAAGATTTTTAACTATTGTAAATTAGTCTTAAGCAGATATACTAGTAGTATACATCTACCGATAGAATAGTTCTATTTCTTTCAGTTGTGTCCCTGGTTTTATGTTCTGAGAAGCTGAATGTGTCATCTTACCTGGCTACAAATTAGTGT